CATTAATAGCAACTCATTCAACACTTTTAAAACACAAGAAATGGCAAACCCTTTCAATTTACCTGTAATCCATCATATAATTAGATTTTTCAACTCTCCCTAGCTGCAGAATTGTCTGCCTTCCGTGCTTCAGTTCATTAAAAAACAGGCTTTATTGCTTTCATTTTTCAATTCAAATAGAAAGAAATTTCTCAGAAGTAGTTTTGTTAAAATTTACCTCCATCGTCAGCTGAAAGTTCTTAGCTGATGTTTGAATCTGAGAACCTGTTTTTCCAGCTCCCTGTCTGAAGTCTAGTTCATATCTCTTAGTTATCTACAAGGGAAAAAGAGTAGTAAAATAAAATAAAATGTAGATTTACACCCAAATCATTCAATTCATATGTATTTATTTAACATCAAAACTTCAATTTTTACATAAATGCACATTGCACATGCATGAAAAGGTGTATTTCAGTTTTCATAAGTTTAAATAGTAATAATTTTTGTGTGATATGAATGATTTGGGTGGTATAGATATAAAAAGTAAAGTTTAGAGGTGTTAGATATGTAAATACATGGGATTGGGTGGTATGCATCTAAATGCCTCGAAATAAAATTATAAAATTATTAGTACATAAGCTAACTATCCTAATGATACTTACATTGTTATAGTATGGCACCCTGGAGAATAGTTGGTCAGCTATGTTTTTCTTCTCTTCCCAGTATTTAGGAAGACCAATGATTTCTTGAATCTGAAATGCTCATGAAACATTAGAAAACCAACAGTTGTTTTTGTCTACATTGATCTTCAAACTAGCTGTAGAGGGAAGCCAACCTGTGTTGTTTTGTTTGTGGTTTTAGTTTGTATTGGATTTTGTTTGGGTATGTACACTCTCATTCTTCTGAAATTGCCTGCAAGTGTGGTGATGGTGGGTACGAACCTGCATTATAAACATGACAAGCGAACAATTATCATATAATTGATGAAGGGAGGATTATATGACTCATTTTGTTGTTTATGTTGGGGTTAGGATAAACATAATTCAAACACTAGTGAAAAAAATAATACAAAGAAAAACAATGATTGTGCAAAAATACATTATGAATTTTATATAGGTTCACCAAACAGAACTGCATTTGAATGTTCCCTCAATCTGTTGCATTTGATTTTAGGGGCATTTACATAAATACCTCATATGTAACTTACATATCTTACACTTAAACATTCATATTTAGATGCATATCACTAAAATTTTTATCATCACATCAAAAATATCATTATCACTATATTTTTAAAAGCGAAGTACACATTTTCATGCATATGTTTATGACCCCAAAGTGTTATAGGTGTAAATTGCAAACTTTTGGCATTAAATATGTAAATACATAAGAACCGTGTATATGTATGTAAATTTTCTTTGATTTTAAGTGCTATGGGGGTACCTTGGCTGGTTATATAGTTTGCCCTATGGAGGTACAAGCATTAAGGTGACCCCAAACACTCTCAATCTCCTAACAATCTCATTGTTCTATTCACCTCCTTCTTCTTGTTACTGATGCAGATTTTATTATGATTTAATTATGAAAAACTACATCTCTAATTCCTCAAACACAACGTAAAGATAATGCCCATGCCCACCTCATTGTAAAAAAAAAATATAATAAATAATTAATTCTTGACGGCCAAAACATAATAAAATCATCATTTATGGAAAATTTTTTAATAATTTAGTATTCACTTGTAAAATTGACATCATCAAAAGTAAATGCTTTTAGCAGGGTTTAACAGTCTAATTTGCAACGGCTACAAATAGTTTTCGGTAAAAGTGAATATAAAGTTGTGAAGAGAAAAATATTTTTAAAAAAAACTACGATGTAATTTGTAATTTTTTTTTGTCAAAAAATAGTTTTTTCATAGCCATCACGTTTTTAAAAGACAATTTTCATCACAAAAAATTTTAAAAAACTATTAGAAAATAATTTCTAAAATAGAATTATTGTGACAGTTGAAATACAAAAAATACAGAAGCCTCTCAAAAAATTGCATCAAGATTCCGCACGTAACTCAGTCCAATGAAATCACGCCACATGGAGGTACAAAAAAAATCACCCGATAACACGTGAATATTCCCCCCGTGTTATTCAGGTGTTATTGTTATGAGAATGAAACCACGCCATATGGAGGTAAAAAAAAAAATCACCCCGGTAACACGTGAATATTCCCCCCGTGTTATTCAGGTGTTATTGTTATGAGAATATTCTCGGTATTATAATAACACAATAACACATCAATAACACTTGAATAACACACAATAACATATGCATAATATAATAACACTTAAATAACACAGGAAGAATATTCCCTTGTGTTACCGGGCAGATTTTATTTTATTTTTTTTATGTCACCGCTAAATAGTTTTATTTCATTGGACTCCGCACGTAAAAACACGACTTTCTAATTTCGTCCAACACAACAATAAGAAAAGCTTAAAAATCCATTTTTGTTTCAAAACATTTATAGCCAATTTTAAACAAATAAATGAGATTTTGCTGCAACTGAAAAGCAATTTTCTTACTCAGCAACGCCCATAAGATAAGATTGAGATTTCATGGAATCAAGCTTCCTTCCCTGCAGAAACCAATATTTCAGTTAAAAACTTGCACATCAAAGCAGAGGAGTTTCGTGCAGCTGGAAGTGTTGTAAAGAGTTAAGGATGAACCTGGTGCCATATTTGGTACTTCGATCCCATCAGATTTGAAGTTATGGTTCCCAAAAAGCTTTCGTCTGAACTGTAAAATATTCCTTTGGAGTTTTGTGCTATAATGAACTCAGACCTGCCACTTCTTTTCCTTATATGGCGAGCAATAGCTAGTTTTCGGTCTTGCCTCCCCTGCCCTTCCTGTTAGTCAACAATAGGGTGAGTTTTTAACATTTGCTACTAAATCCAAGGTTACTAAAAGAATTAAGCTTATATAATTTAAGGTCTGATAAATTTGTGATAAAATACAGTTATATTTGCAATTCATGGTGCAGCACTCTTATTGTATTAAATCAATGATTATGATGGATTAAGGAGAAAATGTTATGTTGCTCTACACAATAAATATGATTTGGCTGTTTGATCTTAGGGTCTGTTTGAAAAATTGAAGCTGTTGAAAAAAAAGTTATTGTTCAAAAAACTGCGATGACTATTATAAATTTTTTTTCTTAAAAATATTAGACCGCAGCTTTCTAGCAGCCACCATAAGTAGCTAGGTCTGGTGGGAAGACACTGTTTTAAGCTCCATCTTTTTTAGAATGCAGACAAAACTACCTGTGCCGTATTGCCGCCTCAAATGCAACCTTAAGCTGCACCCCTTTATTATGCAAAACATCTAGCTTTTATATAGAAGCATCTAGTAAGAGTGTATATTATGAATTTTCTTCCTTCTAAGTCATTCGTTAATTATCAAACTTTCTTTTTATTTTCTCCCAAGTGAATAATTGAGAAGCACATGGGTTGCATACCTAAAGCAACCAACATGCCTTTACAATCACAACTTTTGTATATCATTAAATTTTTAAATAGAGTGATTTTAAAATTAATTAAGTTTATAATTAAACCTGGATTTATCAAAACTAAGAAAATTTATTGAAAATTTTAAATCTGATTTTGTCCAAAAATAAATAAATATATAATTTGCTTTTATACTGAATATCATTAACTTAACTTTTTTTGCTTATTTTTTTCTAAATAAGTGATTCAATCATGGCAAATCTCTCTATTGGCTCAATAATAAGACAACAAATTTATAACTACTTTACGACTCCTCTGCAAATCAAGCTCCTTAAGCTCCCAAACTTCAAGCCGACAAGCCCTATTAACTCCTAACTTGAGACACTCCAAGTACACTTGTTGCACACTAATGTTAATCACTAAGGGACCATTTGGGATCACTTTATTTTTTAATTTCTATTTTTGGTTTTTATTTTATTTTGTTCAAGTTTTTATATGAAATAAAGCAAATTTGATATGTTTGATTAATATATGGTTGTTTGATAAAATACTCAAAACACCCAAAAGTTATTTTGAGTTTTCTCAAAAACTATGTTTATTTGTTTTTAAAAACAAAAATAAAAACATGTTAAAAACATATTAAACAACATGTTTTTAAAAACAAAAGAAAAATAAGAACAAAAAACAAAATTGATCCCAAATAAGGACTAGGGGTTTGTTTGGGATCACTTTTTTTTCTTTGTTTTTTTTTTGTTTTTGACTTTTTTAAATATGTTATTTATTGCATTTCTTTTTATATTTTTAGTTTTTATTAAACAAAATAAATTAGCTTGCTTTTAAAAATACTCAAAATCTAATATGCTTTATTTAAAAAAATAACAAAATAAAATAAAAAATAAAAATGACCCCAAATGTCTTAATTTTATGCAATTGCTGCAAAACTTGTATACCCCCAGAGCTATCTTATCACTTTGAATGCCACAATAATACAATCTATCACTAGAAAATTGTATGTAACGTGAATTTATCCACCTGATCAAATGCTAAGGTCTTCCCATTATTTGTGTGTGTGTGCGTGTATGTGTTTTTAATTTTTTAATTTTTTGTAGTAGGAACAAAGCATAGCTATGAACCTACAACAAAATCCTTTTTTTTTTAATTTCTGTTGATTATTCTTTGCTTCTTCCAATGCCATGAAGATTACAATAGAAAACAATTGTATGTAACATGAAATCTATCCACCTGATCAACTACAAGGGTCTTCCTATTAATTTGTGTGTGCATGTGTGTGCGTTTTATTTTTTTAATTTTTTGTAGGAGGAATACATAGCTATGAACCTATGAGAAAATCCATTTTTTTCAACTTCTGTTGATTTTTATTTGCTTCTTCCAATACCATGAAGCTTACAATAGAAATAATTGAACAAAAAAATCTAATTGTTTAATTCATAACACAAACTTAAATAGTTTACAACTTTTTACAAATTAATCCATAAATAATCATTTTTACACATAACTCTCAACACTCCCCATCAAGATAGACAAGAGATATCCGTTAAGCCCATGCTTGTCACATAATCTAGACAACTCCAATAAACTAAGTCCTTTAGTGATGCAGTCAGCCACTTGATCTCGAGTAGTTAGATGAATTAGCTCCAGTAGTCTGTTATTCAGCTTTTCGTGTGTGTGGTTCTATCGTGTTGCATCGGGTTTAGGGTTCTATCGTGTTGCATCGGGTGGCACCGGGTTGTTGGCAATGTCGATTACTGACTTGTTGTCGCACCACAACTTTATTTGAGTTCCTTGGTCCGCCTTGAGTTCGACCAGCAAGGCTCTCAGCAACATCTTCTCAACAAACCCTAATGCTATGACCTTGTACTCAACCTCTACTGTTGACCATGCTAGCATCGACTGCTTCTTGCTCTTTCAAGAGTCCAAGTTCCCTCCTACAATGCTAATGTGGATCGCATGTTATCTGCACAACTTGCCCAACCATAGTCAAAAAAGCCTTCAATGTCTACATGACTATTCTTCCAAAAGATCAACCCCTCCCCTGGTGCACTCTTCAGGTATCTCAAGATCTAATACACTGCATCGATATGACCCTTCCTTGCGTCATGCATGAAGCGGCTCACCACACTTACTGCAAAAGAGATGTCGGGTAGAGTGTGATACTGATAAATTAGGTGTCCCACCAGTCTCTAGTACCTCTCACGATCAACATGTTCTTCTGTCTCTGCACTCAGCTTGCTTTTCTGATCAATTGGATAGACTGCAGTTTTGCACCCCTGCATACATTTTTCTCCTGCCTCTACACTCAACTTGCTCTTCTGATCAAATGGATAGACTGCAGTTTTGCACCCCCTCATACACTGCATCGATATGACCCTTCTTTGCATCATGCATGAAGCCAGCTTGCTCTTCTGATCAATTGAATAGACTGTCAACTAGCTCTCATGCCTCTGCACTCAGCTTGCTCTTCTGATCAATTGGATAGAATGCAGTTTTGCACCCCCTCATACACTGCATCGATATGACCCTTCCTTGCATCATGCATGAAGCCAGCTTGCTCTTCTGATCAATTGGATAGACTGCAGTTTTGCACCCCCGCATACATGTTTCTCTTACCTCTGCACTTAGCTTGCTCTTCTGATCAATTGGATAGCCTGCAGTTTTTCACCCCCGCATACATCGATATAACCCTTCCTTGCATCATGCATGAAGCGGCTCACCACACTTACTGCAAAAGAGATGTCGAGTTGAGTGTGGCACAGATAAATTAGGTGTCTCACCAATCTCTGGTACCTCTCATGATCAACATGTTCTCCTACCTCTGCACTCAGCTTGCCCTTCTGATCAACTGAATAGACTGCAGTTTTGCACCCCCACATACATGTTTCTGTGAGGAGATCTAGTACATACTTTCTCTAAGATAAGACCATCCCCTTAGATCTACGAACCACTTTAATCACAAGAAAGTATCTCTGAGTTGTCCCAGATATTTTACCTCTAATTGATTCCTCAGTCTTCTCTTTAAATGAGCAATCTCTAACTCATTATCACTGATGACAATTGTGTCATCTACATATACAACAAGTATGGCAGTGTGATATTTATGTCGTCGAAAGGACACTATGAGCTTTTAATGTCTACAAGTCTATTCTTCCAAAAGATCAACCATTCTCTTGGTGCACTCTTCAAGTAACTTTGGGTCTGATACATTGCACCGATATGACCCTTCCTTGCATCATGCATGAAGCGACTCACCACACTTACTGCAAAAGAGATGTCGGGTCGAGTGTGGCACAGATAAATTAGGTGTCCCATCAGTCTCTAGTACCTCTCACGATCAACATGTTCTCCTGCCTCTGCACTCAGCTTGCCCTTCTGATCAACTGAATAGACTGCAGTTTTGCACCCCCACATACATGTTTCTGTGAGGAGATCTAGTACATACTTTCTCTAAGATAAGACCATCCCCTTAGATCCACGGACCACTTTAATCACAAGAAAGTATCTCTGAGTTGTCCCAAATATTTTACCTCGAATTGATTCCTCAGTCTTCTCTTTAAATGAGCAATCTCTATCTCATTATCACTGATGATAATTGTATCATCTACATATACAACAAGTATGACAGTGTGACATTTATGTCGTCGAAAGGACACTGTGAGCTTTTAATGTCTACATGTCTATTCTTCCAAAAGATCAACCCTTCTCCTGGTGCACTCTTCAAGTATTTCAGGATCTGATAGACTGCACCGATATGACCCTTCTTTGCATCATGCATGAAGCGACTCACCACACTTACTGCAAAAGAGATGTTGGGTCGAGTGTGGCACAGATAAATTAGTGGTCCACCAGTCTCTGATACCTCTCACGATCAAAATGTTCTTCTGTCTCTGTACTCAGCTTGTTCTTCTGATCAATTGGATAGACTGCAATTTTGCACCCCCGCATGCATGTTTCTATGAGGAGATCTAGTACATACTTTCTCTAAGATAAGACCATCCCCTTAGATCCACGGACCACTTTAATCACAAGAAAGTATCTCTGAGTTGTCCCAGATATTTTACCTCTAATTGATTCCTCAGTCTTCTCTTTAAATGAGCAATCTCTATCTCATTATCACTGATGATAATTGTATCATCTACATATACAACAAGTATGACAGTGTGACATTTATGTCGTCGAAAGGACACTGTGAGCTTTTAATGTCTACATGTCTATTCTTCCAAAAGATCAACCCTTCTCCCGGTGCACTCTTCAAGCATCTCAGGATCTGATACACTGCACCGATATGACCCTTCCTTGCATCATGCATGAAGCGACTCACCACACTTACTGCAAAAGAGATGTCGGGTCGAGTGTGGCACAGATAAATTAGGTGTCCCATCAGTCTCTAGT